CCGAGCCCGATAGGCCCCTCTGGGCCCATGACAAACGGGGCCCCCGCCCTAGAACAAGAATTAAAAAAAAGATTTAAAAAAATAAAAAATAAATAAATAATTAAAATATTAATAAATTAATTAAAGAATTAATTAACTTAATTAATCCTGATTAGACTAATTAATCATTTAATTAACCTGACTAATCTACTAATTAGATTAATTAATTTAGTTAGTTAGTTATCAGTCAATGACATGCGGGACCCACCGTCAGGTTGACCAGTCAACCCTGTTGACTGCTGACATCAGCATGACATCATGCTGATGTCATTAATCTATTTTTCGAATTAATTTAAATAATTAATTAAATTCCAGGAATAAATAAAATCTTTAGAAAATCATATCTTTTAATCCGTAACTCGGATTAAATTATTTTCAACATGAAAGTTGCTCAGAACGACGAGACGAATCCGGATACGCAGCCCGTTCGTCCACCACACCCCCCTAACCTATCAAACACACAACTTTTCCCTCCGGTTCATCTGTCCGAAAACGCGAAACACCGGGGATACTTTCCCGGATGTTTCCCCCTTTCGCCGGTATCACATAATACCGCGTTAGGACATACCTAGCACCGCGCATTGCCGCGTCTTTCTTTGTGTTGCATTTGATTGCTCTGTTATTTATTGTGTTCCCCCTCCGTTACTCCTTTCCGGTAGACTCCGAGACCGCTGCCGATGTCCGTGTGTTCGACTACATCGAAGATGACCCCCTCCTTGCCAGAGCAACCAGGCAAGCCCCCCCTTGATCACCAGATATCGCCTATTCTTCTCTATACTGCTTGCATTAGAGTAGTGTAGCATGTTACTGCTTTCCGTTATTCCTATCCTGATGCATAGCCTGTCCTTGCTACTACTGTTGTTACCATTACCTGCTATCCTACTGCTTAGTATAGGATGCTAGTGTTTCATCAGTGGCCCTACACTCTTGTCCGTCTGCCATGCTATACTACTGGGCCGTGATCACTTCGGGAGGTGATCACGGGCATATACGATATACTTTACACAGTTACATTACCTGTGATACTGTTCGGAGATGGGGGCTGAAGGGGCAGGTGGCTCCATCCCGGTAGAGGTGGGCCTGGGTTCCCGACGGTCCCCGACTGTTACTTTGTGGCGGAGCAGCAGGGCAGGTTGAGACCACCTAGGAGACAGGTGGGCCTGGCCCTGGTCGGCGTTCGCGGATATTTAACACGCTTAACGAGATCTTGGTATTTGATCTGAGTTGGCTACGAGCCTATACGCACTAACCATCTACGCGGGAGTAGTTATGGGTATCCCGGCGTCGTGGTATCAGCCGAAGCCTTCTTGACGTCAGCGACTGAGTGGCGCGCGCCGGGTTGGACTGCGTTAACGCAACTTCCTTTGTAATGGAGGTTGCTAGGTCTGCTCACCGGCCGCGTACGCAACGTGCAGGTGTGCTAAGGGCGATGGGCCCAGACCCCTGTGCGCTTAGGTTTAGACCGGCGTGCTGACCTCTCTGTTGTGCCTAGGTGGGGCTGCGACATGTTGATCTTCCGCGGCCGGGCATGACCCAGGAAAGTGTGTCTGGCCAAATGGGATCAAGCGTGTTGGGTAAGTTGGTGCACCCCTGCAGGGAATCTAATCTATTCGAATAGCCGTGATCTTCGGTAACAGGACGACTTGGAGTTGTACCTTGACCTTATGACAACTAGAACCGGATACTTAATAAAACACACCCTTCCAAGTTCCACAGACAACCCGGTGATCGTTTTTCCACAGGGCGACGAGGGGAGGATCGCCGGGTAGGATTATGCTATGCGATGCTACTGGAGATGCTACTTGGAGATGCTACTTGGAGGACCTCAATCTACTCTCTTCTAAATGCTGCAAGACGGAGGCTGCCAGAAGCATAGTCTTCGATAGGATTAGCTATCCCCCTCTTATTCTGGCATTCTGCAGTTCAGTCTACTGATATGGCCCTTTACACATATACCCATGCATATGTAGTGTAGCTCCTTGCTTGCGAGTACTTTGGATGAGTACTCACGGTTGCTTTCTCCCCCCCTTTTTCCCCCTTTCCTTTCTTCCTGGTTGTCGCAACCAGACGTTGGAGCCCAGGATCCAGACGCCACCTTCGACGACGACTCCTGCTACCCAGGAGGTGCCTACTACTACGTGCAGGCTGCTGACGACGACCATGAGTAGTTTAGGAGGATCCCAGGCAGGAGGCCTGCGCCTCTTTCGATCTGTATCCCAGTTTGTGCTAGCCTTCTTAAGGCAAACTTGTTTAACTTATGTCTGTACTCAGATATTGTTGCTTCCGCTGACTCATCTATGATCGAGCACTTGTATTCAAGCCCTCGAGGCCCCTGGCTTGTATTATGATGCTTGTATGACTTATTTATGTTTTAGAGTTGTGTTGTGATATCTTCCCGTGAGTCTCTGATCTTGATCGTACACATTTGCGTGCATGATTAGTGTATGATTGAATCGGGGGCGTCACAGACATAGCCCCGACCGAGGACGGGACAACCTCGGGCAGGAGGTGGCCGATGTTGTCGAGGACGGCAGCTTGCATGGCAAGGGTGACATTGTGGAAGGCGTTGGGAGGGACGATGACGACGACCGCCAGCCGCTGCGCCGCGTCGTAGTCCCCTTCCGGCATGAAGACCTCCACGGCGTCCGGGCGCTCCAAGTCGGCGATGACCGAGGCGATGGAGTTACCCGAGGACATGGACGAGGCGGAACGCAGGAGAGACGCGAGTCCGACGAGTCGGAGGAGGCGCGGTCCCGAAAGGCCAACAGCTCGGGAGGCAGCCCATCCGAGCCCGGCGTCAGGACCTTGTTGAAAGCTTGGAGTACCTTGTTGAAAGTCCCCACCCATGTTTGGCAAGGAGTACCTTGTTGAAAGCTTCAAAATCCCTAAACCTCATGCCCCCATTACATTTTCTTCGGCTATTTTCTCCTATGCAACCCTGTGAAGTTTACGCTTGCCATTCTCAACTCCCCGCCAAAAGTTAGACGAGATGGATGTCAGGTTCTGGCACAATGTTTTGGTAAATTGCAAGCAGCTCATAGCAAATGTAAGCATGGATTGTAAAACAAACTTAACAAGCACCTCCCTGCCCTTCTTGGACATACATTGTCCCTTACAACCAGAAACTTTTGTGCTTGATCTTTCCTTCACATACTTAAATCAGCCTTTTTTGACTTGCCTACCACTTGTTTTGTGCAGTATACTGTGTGTCCGCCTTGTTCATATACATTAAACAACATATTAATTTTATATACTTAAGATCATACATATATACGCATGACTAAGTTAATAGCAAATGAAAAAAGAACATGCAGACAAAATCAATATCCTAAGTACATATATTTTAATAATAATAATTTTTTAAAATGTTAACCATGAATTTGAAAAATGTTAGCAGAAAGTAAAAAAAAATGTTTGCGTAACTTAGAAAAGTTTTGATAGCATTCAAACAAATTTCATGATATTTAAAAAAAGTTCATGCATTCCAAAAAATTCACAGGACATTTTTGAAAAGTTTTATTCTATGTAAAAAATGTTTGTTTAATTAAAAAATATTTCGTACGATTCACATGTACATTGCATTTAAAAAGATGTTACGAGTTTCAAAAGTATGTTCGTTAAATTTTCTAAAAAATCTTGACATAATTTGGAAAAATAATTTGTTGATTAAAAAAAGGAAAAACCAATGAAAACCTCTGCAACAGTGAAAAACCTGATAAGAAAAACCAGAGGAAGAAAATCTCGCGCGTCGCAGCGCGCTCGTCGGAGTATAGCTGGCCAAACGGGCCGGGATAGTTGGGCCGGCCCGGTAGCACGGCCGGCACGGCACGGCACGTGCTAAACGGGCCGGGCCTGGCACGCGGCACGCCATGGGCCGTGCCTGGGCCTGAAGGGCGAGCACGCGGGCCGGCACGGCACGGCCCGATTAACTTTTTTATATTTTTTTATGTATTCTAATATGGGCCAACAGGTAAAAATAGGCTAAAAACGCTCAATGCGCAAAATAGGAGGTAGATTAGTGGGCCTGGCGTGCCGGTGGGCCGGCCCGATTAGCATACGGGCCGTGCCTGGGCTGCAGGCTGCAGCACGCAGGCTGGCACGGCACGGCCCGTATAATAATCGTGCCTAGGCGGGCCGGGCCGGGCCAGGCACGATTAGGATGGGCCGTGCCGTGCCGGGCCGGGCCGGCCCGTTTGGCCAGCTATGCGTCGGAGGCGAGACTGAGCTACCTCTCGCCACGGACGAGACATAGCTCTTGCGAAGGGAAGCGAAGCGCATCGCCGCTCTGCTACCACCTCCACCGCTCAGAGCCCACAACCCTCGTGCTCCTCTGCCGGCGACAGCGGTCAACGGCGGCCGGCGGTGGTGAGCACGTGAAACTCGTCACGGCGCACAAGCCCACCAGCGTCAGCCACTCCTGCGCCGGCAACTTCACCAGCCCCCACCAGCTCAACCTCGCCGTGGCGTACGCACCCGCACAACCCCTCTCTCCGCTCCCTCCCCCCGAATCCCCAGTCAGCCAGTCTAGTAGGGTTCAGCTCCCGCCCGGCTCCGCTTATTAATTCCTGCTACCCAGTTCGGCCTCGACCCTTCTGCGTCCGAATTCCCGGGGCCCTAGGGTTTTGCTCCCAGCTAGACGCGAGCGCCCGATTCATTCCTCTCCGTCCAGTTGTTTTTTCTGATTAGATTTCTGGGAGGATTCCTAGGTTATGAGTGCAGGTGTGCAATATTTCTCTGGGTAATCAGCATCCTTCTGAAAGTCCTAGTGCACAGTACTACCTCTGTAAACTAATATAAGAGCGTTTAGATCACTATTTTAGTATTCTAAACACTCTTATATTAGTTTACGGAGGGAGTATTTCTGAAAGTCCTTTTGCAGTCTGATTCCACCTTCCAGTTTGGTTCGGAGCTACCGTTGTTCCTATATCATATACACACAATTGTGGTTTCTGCAAAAATCGATGGAGAAGGCTTCTGTTCTCGATGATTCACCAGATTGGAGCACCGATTGTGATTGGTCCCAGCTTCAGTCCGACATGCTCCTCCGGATCTTTGGCACTCTCGAGATCCCAGATCTCTTCAGCTCAGGTGCCGTCTGTCGATCCTGGCACCTCATTTATCTGGAGGCCCGTCGTTTCCGCCTGTGCTCGCCGAAACAGAGTCCCTGCCTTGTTTACTCATCTGGCGACCGTGATGCTGACACGGTCACCCTGCATAACATGTCCACCGACAAGCTTTACCACGTCACTCTATCGGAGCCTGCCTTCCGCACACGCCATGTCATGGGCTCCTCCTACGGCTGGCTCATCACTGCGGATGAGCGGTCGAATCTCATACTAGTCAACCCTGCAACCCGAGCTCAGATAGCTATGCCTCCACCTGAAACCATGAACAATGTTAGACTGCGCTACACTGAAGAGGGCGTGCTAGATGGATATGATGTTCTTTTCATGGATCTGTTCTCTTCGGATTTTGACACTGAAATGGAGCCATACCATCTTACACTTGAAGAAGCCCACTTCTTCTTCTATGAGAGGGTTGTTCTTTCTTGCGACCCCTCCCAAGGAAACTGCATGGTGCTCCGAATACAATTGCCCAATAGTCAACTCTCTTATACTAGGGTTGGGGACACCAAATGGACTTGGATTGGTGGAAAAGGAAATTGCTGGGAATATCAAGATATTCTGTATAACAACAATGATGGTTTGTTTTATGGTGTTCGTGGCGAGGGTCAGGTAGATTCTATTAACCTTAATGGAACTTCTGCTGAAGTAAAAGTCATTTTAAAGTCAATCATATCTTACCAAGCACATAGTAGATATATTGTTCAAGCACCATGGGGAGATTTTTTCCAGATATGGAGACATGATAAATCTAATAAAGAGAATGGGATAACAGAATGTGTTGCCGACAAATTTTTTGTGTACAAGGTTGATTTTGTTGGACAAAAGATAATCGAAACAAATAACCTCCAAGATCATGCAATGTTCATTGGTTTCAACAACTCGTTCCTTCTCCCAGTGAAAGACTTTCCTGCATTGGTTCCCAATAGCATCTACCACACGGATGACTTGCTTGATTATATCTACTGTCACAGATTTAGTCTTAGGCAGGTTGTTATTTTTAATATGGAAGATGGTAGTTTCATCGAGTTATCGCCCCCTAGTTCAAATTCAAGATTGAACTGGCCACCCCCAGTTTGGATTCAACCATCACTTGCTTGAGGTTAGTGAAAATTTCTAATATAGAATATATATATACATTATTTTATCTGCTTTATGTTTTGGGTATCTATTCATGTTCTGTAGTTAGCCAGTTAGACCTTTGTAATCGGCACAAGTGATCATGTTTCCTCCATGTTCTTGTGTAACTATGCACTTAGGCTGCATGATCCTATTAAGTAATGGCTATTTTAGAATATTTCTACTTTTATATTAGATGTTTCGGGTATAAACCTATCCGTTCAGTAGGATAAGATTGCTATGGTTGTTTTCAAGGAACACGCTTCACCGAGTACTGCCTTGTTTAAAGTGTACTAATATAATGTCTAGAACTTGTAGTGTTGCTAAAACACGCTTAAATGCTTAGCCTTTTATGCTTATTATGGAAGCCAAACCAAATATTTATACTTAACTCTAGATCGAATTCCTTTTGTTGCTCTTGGATGGTTCGGTACGTGATATATTAACAATTAAGGAGGCTTACCAATGAATATAAAGTGCCTCAACTAGCTTTGTTAATATCCTACTCTGAATTGTTTCATTCGTCTGTCCCTAAATCTTTATGTCAAATTATTATCTCTTTCCTAAGGTACTAGCATTTATTATCTCTTTCCTAAGGTACTAGCATAATGTTTTGAATGATCCTAAAACAGATTCTAAACTTTTTTTAGGCGTTACAATCGCTTTTCCAATTTATTATCATCACTATTTTTGATGATTGGTACTATTACTTCCTCGGTTCACAAATATAAGATGTTCTAACTGTTTTCTGAATCGGATGTATGGAGACACGTTTTAGTGTTTTTGTTCACTCATTTCAGTCCTTATGTAGTCCATATTGAAATATCCAAAACATCTTATATTTGTGAATGGAGGGAGTTCATATATCATATAGGGTTAGGTAATGAATACGTCCACGTGCCAGAACCATGACTAGGTTTGGAGATCTAATGAGTTTCAACTATATCCTACCCCAACTTATTTGGGGCTAAAAGGCTTTGTCGTTTTTCAATACATGTATGATCAACTAGCTGGTACGAAGTAATGAAAATAAATCCTGTCATGTAGCACATCGATCTCCAATTCTCCATACAAGTTCACTGAGCACTGTAGAAATTTAATCATATTGCGTGAACCCCAAAACAAGAGTAGCAGTTGTCTTGGACCATTAGCCCAAAGTCAACTCTAAATTTTGTGGACACAAATCATTTATTCATTGTAAATAAGTAATAATCATGTCTTTTCTGCTTGCGAAATATTGTACTAAATACTTGCAACACGATGTCCCGGTTGCAAAATAGCAGAGGGCTTTCTGGGAATTAGCTGCCTAAATGGCACATAACTGACTCATGCCTATTTTAAGGTCCTGTCAGTAATAAACCAGGCCTGTTTTCAAGGTCCTTCTCAGCAATTATGAAACGAATCATTTGTGTTCTGTGTATGTTCATCTAGTTACTTTTAAAATGAACCAGTATGTTATTCCAAAGAACTATTAGTTTTGCATATATGCTGATACTGAGTACGCGTTGTCCCTGCTTAAGGAGTCTTACAAGTGCTTGTGTCCAGGCAAGTTAGGAACTTATTGTGCACTTTGTTCAGGAGATCTTACAGGCCAGTTAAGACATCAGTGGGGAAATATTCAGTTGTAGCTTTGTACTCCCTCCGTCCCAAAATAAGTGTCTCAACTTTATAAACTTTAGTAAAGTTTATAAAGTTGAGACACTTATTTTGGGACGGAGGGAGTACCATTTTACGTGTGATATTTGAAATATAATGAATTTTATTCTGATGATTCGTTTCTACTGGTTGTTGCTGACAGGCACCAGTGTTTACACCTGAAGGTTTCCCTCCTTCAAGATTCTTTTGTTAGAGAGTTGTGGGGAAAATTGGAAAGCAAAGTTATCTTGAGAAGGTGCATCCGCCCGTCATCACGAACTTATACAGTTCACATAACAAGATTACTGCCTCTGCTGCGTCCATTGTTTTAGTTGGTTCAAGTGAGGAACTTGGGATATCAGTAACTGTTCAATAAGTCTACCCTGATACCATCCATACTGATGAATGTCTCTACTTTGATAGTTTGACCACTATACTCATGAAACAACAAGTTCACTGTTTCGGCAAAGGTTTATTGTTATTGAATGGCTTACCTATGTTGATGATGTTGTGACTGTGTATAAAATGGAAGAAAATTGCACATTTTTACTGAATGATAAGTCCATCCATCGTAGCATCATCAGGTGCATGAACAAGTAAATGCTGTGAAAGATGGAAGACAACAAAGCATAATCAGGTGGACAATATTATGACCAAATGCATGTTGTAACAGTACTAGCATCATCAGGCAGAAAATGCATGATGCATCATCATCTTCATAACAAAAGAGAACCTGTAATAGTACTAGAATCTGTGAAAGAGAAATTTAGCGATTGTTGTAACAGAACCATATTTTACACGCCATCATTCATTCATACAAGCACTTGACATCACAAAACACGGACTTGGCTTGCGTAAAATTTGAGCCCACCCTTCATTTTCTGTCTAGACTCGCCACTGATCACAACCGCATGTACTCCTTGTCTCTGATATCAAACATGGATGTTTTCATGGCCATTATTTTTGCTGCACTATGACATCACTTGATGGTTTCTCACTCTCGGCATGTCTCTTTGCTTCCCTTCTCATACCTTCCTTCTTTGCAGCAGCAAATTTTCTCTCTGTTGACCTTTTTGGAGCAACAACTTGTCTCTCCGCTTTATGGACGGAGTTGCCTTGTAGGAGTTGGGGCCAGTTGAACCAATGAAATTATGAAATCCTTCACTATCTTAGTACTAATCTCTACTTACCTAAAAGAAAATGTAGTGTTCCGTTTCTCCTCTTACGTTCCCTGCTTCGTCCATGCCCCTCCCTCCTGTTTCTGGTTTTCTTTTCGTCCTAAACTTTCACCGGGTTTTGTGGATGAATACCGGTCTACGCTGTGCAGCCCGCTCAATCCAGATCTGAGGGTTGCTTTCTATTCGTCGGGAGCCCCACGTCCCGATCAGGAGAACCGCGGGGCCACGGTGCGGCGGCGCACAAGGGCGGCGCTGGCGGTGGCTAGAAGGGGAAGCCGAGGGTGACGGAGGAGCGGCGCTATTTCCTCTGCCTCACCGTTGCGGCGGCGGTTCAGCGTGGCTGGGCGCCTGATGGCCCCGCTGGGCCAAGAGCGCACGTTGCACCGGCTCGAGGACGAGCATGGGCAGCGGCCGACGACGAGCATGGGTGCTGGCGTTTGGGGAGAGGGCGGTGGTGGCCTGTAGATGATGGGACGACGGTGGTTTGATCATGGGAGCATGACGAGAACGGTATTAATTCTTCTCTGTCTCTCCCTCTCGTTTGATTGCCCAGATGTTGTATCAATGTGAAGCGCTCCTCCATTCGATCCCAAGAAAACAACGGTATTGTCACTCACCATAATTGTCTTTCACTAGTAGAAAAGGGGGCAATGGTCCAGGCCGGGTCAGCCCATTAGTCCCGGTTCAATCCAGAACCGGGACCAATGGGGGCATTGGACCCGGTTCGTGAGCCCCGGGGGCCGGCCGGGCCACATGGGCCATTGGTCCCGGTTCGTCTGGACCTTTTGGTCCCGGTTGGAGGGACGAACCGGGACCAATGTGCCTTGGTCCTGGCCCATCACCATTGGTGCCGGTTGGTGGCGTGAACCGGGACCAAAGGCTTCCCTTTAGTCCCGGTTCAAGCCATGAACCGGGACCAATTAATTGCCTATATATACCCCTCGCCCGCGAGCAGAGCACTCTCACTGCTCTATTTTTCGTGGCCGGCGAGGAGAGAGCTTTGTGGTGCTCTAGCTCACCTCCTATGCACACGAGGTGTTCGATGGAATGCCCGAGGCACACTACTTAAGCTTTCTCCTCTCTAAGCTCGACCTCCAAGCTTCATTTTCCTCAATATTTGTCTAGGTTTAGCGGTCCGTCATGTCCCGTCCCCGTCTTCACCGTCATCGATCGCCCGCGCCGATCTCGTCGCCGGCACCACCGTGGTGAGCCTCTTGTTCTTATCTTCTTTCTGAAAGGAAAAAAAATCTTACTTGTATGTTTATATAGATACTTGTATAATTTTCTTACATTTATTATTGCATCTTATATAGTGTGATGGTTTTGGTATCCGCCCCCATCGGTCCTCGTCCTGTCTATGATTCAGATGTGGTATATATTATCTTTTCATAACTATTGGTTCATCTATTGTTTATGACAATTATGTCGACCAACGTGACATAGATTTTATTTATCTAGGAGGTTGTTGAACCGGAAATTCCAACCGACCCTATTGTCGAGAGGTTAAATTTAGTTTAAGAAGAAAACAATTTCTTGAAGGAAAAAACTAGAAAAATTGAGGAGGAGAAGATGATATTGGAGTTGCATGTTGCGGATGTCGTGGATGATCATAAGATCAAGATGGATGCAATGCGCTTGAAGATTAGAAAGATTAGAAAATATGTCATTCATACCGAGGCTTGGTATCATTATGCCGTTGGATCAGTTGTTACATTGGTTGCGATTATGATCACATTTGTTTTCGCATTGAAATGTTTTACATAGTTTCAATGTATGGTTTAATTAATTTAGATGCTCTGCAGAGCTTTATGTTGTTAGATGAGAACTATGTATGTACTTTGGTTTTAATGTGATGATGAACTTTTATTAATTTGGTCACTTAATTATCTATTCATGATGTTCTGTAATGATTTTTGACACACTTAATTATATATAATGCACGCAGATGAACCGGCAATGGATGTACGGTTCAAGACACACCTCTGAGTATATTAAGGGCGTGCATGAATTTCTCGAAGTAGCTGAGGCAAACAAGCAGAATGGTTTTATGTGTTGTCCATGCCCTATATGTGGGAATACAAAGTCTTACTCTGACCAGAAAATCCTTCACACCCACCTGCTTTACAAGGGTTTCATGCCACACTATAATGTTTGGATGAGGCACGGAGA